TAACGCAGATGAAACGGATTTCGAATTTTAATGCAATGGAAAGTGATGATGAGGGCTCAATGGATGAAATTATTCACCAGCCTTCAAATGATGATGCTAGAGATTGCTTCAGATGTTTGAATTTATATTTTTGGTAACGAATGACACTGCCACTGACGATCAAATTTTGAACGAATTTTAAAAAAATCTCTTTTTACTGAAAACTTCAAAAGGAAATTTCTGATTATTTTAATTCATTGTAACTTTTACATGTGAACTTGATTTCGCATTAATATATGTATGTGTTCATTATTTTAGATGTATCTTACATAATTGCGGTTTCTTAAATGTTCATGCAGTATGGTAATAACCCGGGTACCCGGGCACCCGAAAAAATTTGGAGAAGTAAAAATTAAGCTCGCTTACGATTATATACCGCAAACGAACGTACATAGGGAAAATCTATAAGAATCTTCCATACCAAATGGGGAAATATAATATGTACTCGTATCTAAAGGTAGTAGCAATAATTTTACGATTGTAGAATTATTAAACTGTAGAGAGCTAAACAAAAATAATAATAATAATTTCATGTTTATAAAATACTAGCAGACTCGGCGAGCTTCGTCCCGCCCAAAATTATTTGTTTTATTGAAATTTTTGGTTCAACATTTCCACCAACAATTCCCGTTTACGATTTTCATTGGCACATTCATCTGATAAGGTTATGGTTTGGTGGTCATTTGCCGCTTTAACTAACTCAAGGAAAGTGTTATATCTGTGAAAAAGTTCTTAAAATTCTCTAACTGTGCAGCATTTCATAGCACGGTTATTCGCAAAACGAAATAAATTTGAAGAATTGTTTCCTCTTCACTCCCACTCCCTGGCGGCAACAATGACCCGGTTCTATAATGAATCTGTCCTAGAAGCTTTACAGTATAGTTGGTGGAAATTTAAAAATGGGTGGGAATCATTGTTCTACAGAAATGCAATATACATATACTTATTTCAGACGAAATACCTTAAAAGCTTGAACGCATAATAATATTGGAAAATCACATCCATTGGGCCAATCGTAACACAGGAGAGTTCGATATACTCAATGGTGCAACAGGTCGATTTAATCTGGCCTTCACGGCACCTTTTCTCACTTGGCTATTTTAAGTAATCACTCGACTCCAACGCCACTTGGCAGCACGTTTTTGCAATAGTATTGCTCTTACCATGACCAATACATATTTAAAATATTAGCCAAATCGAGTCATAGATAAGGTTTTTAGTAATAACTCAACTACAGCGCAACTGGCGGATTGAATTGTGAAACTAAACCATTCAGAGACCCACTCAAACACACATAAAAAATTTCGTTAAAATCCGTACAATCATTTTGGAGGATTTCACTCACAAACACATCTACAGAAGAATGATAAATACATTCAAAGATAGCTAAAAGTCGGTACGTTTGTAGGCCTCGCGCCCCAATTTTCAAATAGCCCCAATTTTCTCCATGAGTATGTGCTTGATTTCATATACATACAAATCTCCATACGAAGTTCCAGTACTCTACCATGAATACTTTCAGAGATATGCAGTATAAAATTTCGGTTTGTATGGGAGGTGCCACGCCCCCTTTACCAATAGCTCCAATTTTTCTCCAAGAGTTCCAGAACTCTATCATGAACACTTCCAGAGATATGGAGTTTGAAAAAATTCGGTTTGTATTGGAAGTGCCACGCCTCCTTTACATATAGAATTTTTTTTTAGCCGTAAACAATCCTTGAACACGTGCGGCAGGTGGCTGAAGTTTCAAAATAATCGGTTCAGCCGTTAGCCTAAAACATGGTGGTTGCTGAAAGCTATTTATATACAAAATTTCATTAAAATCGGACCAGCCGTTCGCGAGATTACCTGTTACAAAAAAAGGGACTTCTGGTTATATGGGCCAATCTAAAAAATAGGTACTCTCCAAAAAAAAATTTTATTTTCAAATTTGTGAGCACACCTATGTTTTATATATCATTTTATTCGTATTCTCTTAATAAATCGATCAATATTAATGTAATTCATTTTCATTAAGTGCTTCAAAAGTTAGGCGAGGAATAAACATGAAATAGAAAACAAAAGAATAAGCTTCGTTCAAATTACGTGGTTCAAGTTGTAAACTTTGAACAAAGATTTTGAAAGTTGAACTCACTTAATTGGGACGTTCTAAATTCAATGGCATCCCCCGTTTCACCAGATTCGCTCCGGTTTTCGAGATAACGGTATTTGAAAATATAATTAAATTTTAACTATTTTATAAATAACTCCCTCAGTTTTGCAGTTATTTAACTAAAATTTTTCACATAACGGGTTTTTAATATTACCTTATATATTCGTTAAAATTATCGAAATAGGTGCACTTTAACGTATAGCTCCAATACAACTGATTACTCAGATATGTGTTTTTGCGCTATAACTCTAACTTCATATCTGAATAATATATTATATGCGTGCTATATGTTAAAGTGAACCAATACAAAATTTTTACCTGCTTAATTGAAGGAGTTATAACGCAAAACATCGTATGGGAGCTAGTTTTTAGAGTGAACCGATTTCGATGATTTTATGAGATAGTGAAGGAAATATTAAAATACAAGCGTGTGCAAAATTTTAGTAAAATATCTTCAAAACTGAGGGAATTTTTTTTTAAATAGTTCAAATTTAAGCAAAGTTTCAAGTACCGCTATCTCCCAAAGTGGAGACAATCGAGCAAAACTGGGGACGCCATTGAATTTAGAAGGCTCTAATTAAGTAAGAGCAACTATCAGAACCTTTGTGGAAAAAAATTTGATTTGATACCACCTCGAAATATTCTGACTACAAGAATGAGCATAATTAAAAGTACTAAATTTTATCTTTAAAAGTTGGTTTATTCTGAAAGCACGCCTCTTGCTAAGGTAACAAATTATTCGTAATTGTTTGTAGAATACAATACATACTTAAAAAGTCCTTAAAATTAAATGCTTCAAAAACTATACGCGATAAACAGAAAATTTTGAAAATTGTGAAATGTTTAATTACTTGCAATTTCGTTATTTTTTAATGCACATTTTTCTTACCTACTACATATGAAGTATACACATAAGTGCTAAATGCCCATTAAATTTCTAATCAGAATATGGTGTGCTTCAAGAGTTATGACATAATTAATTTTGCCCCTCTTAAAAATTACATAAAAAATTCACTTGTTTTCATTATTTTTTTAAATTTAAACACCTATAATTCAAAAGTTATGCAGCAAATTGGTCCACTTTTTTTTTTAGGCTTCAAGTATACGTCAATGAATTATGTCCAAAAGCAACCAGCTTGATATAGTTTCCAACAGTGAAAATAAAGCTAAATAACACCTAGGTTACCTGTTTTTTAGATTTGCCCATATAATTAGTATAGATAAGTAACTACTTGACAAAAATCAACACCAGCGAAAAATAAAACGCAAAAGAAAAAAAAGAACAAAAGTCTGGGGAACGTCCTGCTAGAGTACAAGGCGAGAACAAAAGTTTTGAAAACTTAACGTAAGAATGAGAGGGGCGTCCGCGTGTTCGGAGGAAAAGTTTTTTCATTGAGAAACACGGATGTTAATTCTAAGCCAGAGGAAAGCTGGATCATTAAAACAATTTTTCATTCTCTGTGAAAGAAAAGTTCGTGTCTTAAGTCTTTCGTTAACTTTATTTCATAAATATCTTTCAGTTCTTTTTTGATTAACTTTAATATTCAAAACATTTCAAAGTCATGGAACGCTATGAGATAGTTCAGAGAAGATTTGTTCCTTTTTCGTTCCTGGAACTTTAGCTCCCAAATTTTTCTTTGAGAGAAAGTTCCTTAGAATTTTGTTCAGGAAAAATTTGTTAGCATTTTGTTCTCTCTGTGAACGATCCACACGGTTTTGTTCTTATGTGATTCCCAATGAGAACGTTCTCGACAGTTTTGTTCTCATTTTGGTTTTGGTTTTGACGCGTCCTTGGACAAAAAACTACGAGAACGATATTTAGTTTCGATCATACATTTTGTTCTCGGTCCCTGTTTTGAAATACTAATATTTAATATTCTTTAAAATGTGCATACATACACTTGTGATCAGCTAATTAAGCCAGCAACATTTTGATCAATTTTGGCTATTTTTCTTTTGTTTATTTAATGTTTATTATTTTTCCATAAAAGTCTAGCTCATTTTATAACAAACACCACATAAATCCAGATTTCAAACTTTGTGCAAAAATTGTCGAATTTATTTTCTATGGAGAAAAAATTGTAATGCAGTCAGAAAAAAAATAACTAAAAATGAACGCGATTTTATAGCAACTTAAGACTCGCACATTATTACCCTAGAATTTAGTGGGTTAGTGCGTACTCAAAAAAATCTGAATAAAAAGCTGAAACTTTGCAGATTTTTCATAATTTTTGCACTAAGTTTGAAATCTGGATTTATATGGTGTTTGTTATATAATGAGCTAGACTTTTATGGAAAAATAACAAACATTAAATAAACGAAAGCAAAATAGCCAAAATTAATCGTAATGAACCAGCAAGCAGTTTCTAGTTGGGAGCCACAAACGTGGTCAACCAAAATAGACAACTGCTTGCAGAAGAGCCCTCGCCCAGGCACGTCAGAAGGCATCTCTACGAAACTTAGACGCAGATGTGCCAAATGAGTGTCCGGCTTGCGGAGAGACACCCCAGACTTGAAACATCTCTTCATTTGCCCGGAAAACCCGACAAAACGTAACGCCTTCGTCCCTGTGGACCGACCCCATTGAGGCTACACGCTTCTTAGGGCTTCCGTTAGTTGAGCTTGACGACAACGACTGAGATATTAACCGATGAGGGCGGGGTTGTTGTAGCCGCTACAACAACAACAGCAGCATCCCAAAAATCTGGTGACTTTTTGTGCAGTTTAAAATAATTATTTGGACTAACACATTTTGAAATATGTCTAAAAATCCGAAATCCAAAACAAGTTGATACAGCTATGCACTTACCTGAAAGCAAAGGATTAGCAGTAAGTGCTGCTGATTGCTGTTCTTTCGCCTTTTGGACTAAGATTGTCTCTAAATCGGGTAGTATTTCAGGACGTTGACATATACCGGGCGCACTTTCTTGTCGCAGTAGTTGTGAATTTGTTTCCGAATTTGCACGCGAAAGCGATTTTCTGGGATTGCGCTTGCTGAATGATGTAGATTTAAAAAGTTTGGCAGATAAATTAGACAAGAAGGGTTTTTTTAAATTGTCAACTTCTTGTGGGCATTTTGTTTCATCCTTCTTAATTGGTTTTTTGCTTACTTCAGGGCCCCATGCCTTTTCATTTGACTCGCAAAATTCTACAGCATCAAATACTTTAACAACTTTTTCTTCGAAATCCTTTCTTGCAATCGGCCGTGCTGGCTCTTCACACTGGTTGAATTCATTGAGAATGCTGGAACCTGTGTTACCGCCAACTAATGCTGCAATGCTGCTGGACATCTCTAGACTTTCATTGTTGTGGTGTTTTCCAATTGAATGGCCTTCATCCTGAGAGATTTCCAACACATTGAATCCATCATCATCAAATACATCATTCAACGTGTCCTCCAAAAATGAAGTCTTCAACTTATAATACATTTTGTAAGAATCTCGTATTTCTTGCGGCGCCTCTCGAATATCATACTAAAACAAAAAATAGTTATATACAGCTGAATGTTATATGGAGCTGGTTATTTACTTTAGATGGAATACGAGAATATTTTCGTTTAAAATCCTTCTCCCAAGTTTTAACACGTATTTTATATTTTTGGTACTTAAGTTTATAAGCAGAATCACTCATCGCCGGATCATTTATTTAATATTAAATACAACTACAGAAAATTGCAAACAAAATCTAATGTTTTGTAGTTGACGTCAAATGCCATTTTTCGCGCCACTGGAATTTCGATAAAGCTAGTCCAAGACGATACGATTTTATCATCCCAGTAGTTGCGCCAGCCGGTGTCTGCAGTTCGTGTGTTCGATGTGTGCACTAGTATATTCTAGAGCAGAAGTGTTCCATGAACTCTTTTTGCTCTAATAAAAGGGCGTTTCTACGCCGCCCTAATTGCACAATTTCCATACTCAATTTTAAATTGAAATTGTAGCAGTTTACACCACCATCTTAATTTCGATTACAGTTTGTTTAATGTTTTTTTTTTCGTTAGTTTTTTATCTGCTTTGTTTTTATTTTCTTGTTATTGACGATTATATTTTCTTCTTTTTGTTCATTAAAATGAGAAATCAGTTCCATGAGCAGTCACACCTTGCATGGAAAGTGTCTTTCGAAAGAGGTTTTTATTTCCGAAAGGCGAATTGCAGGAAAAATTTCTGAAATCGCTTTTTGGCTGTTCACACAGCGAATGAGTTTCTAGCAATCTTTCTCGATACCAAAATGCAACCATGGGCGGTGGGGTTATTGTTTGTTTGCTATCTCTCTTGTAAAAGCGAGAACGAAAACGCGAAAAATGAATACTCGACGCATGATGCAATAATGAAAGGTGTTGTACGTTGTGACAGCTCGCAATCGAACTACCTTAGGTCAATATTGTATTTTGGAAGTACAAGATAAACGGGAATAAAAAAAAGCCTTTTAGTTGAAAAAGTACTAAATTGTATGCCTTCTCAACAGCGTTCCGATTATCAGAATAGGTATATATATGGCTTGGTAGTCTCATAAAATTGTAGATAATTAAAATAATAAAATTAGGCGTGTTTTTATTCACAGGAATATGATAATATGCTTAAAATTTTCGAGCAGTATGGCTTATATAATTCCTTTTATGAGCCGTATCACTAAGAAAATTATCCCTTATGAATTTGAAATGTGTCCCTTATATTGTACAGGCCAAAAAGAGGAATTCATTTACGTGTGGTCTTTTGTCCCCCTCTTTCATATAGGCTTCTTGTGCGCATATATCAGGTTTCATAGCTGTTGACCATACCAATAATGCCTCATGCTCAGTTTTACTTGATCAATTCGTGTTCTCGAGAAAAAAAAATTTCACGATTCAAAAATCTGAGTATAGCCGCCAAATTCTTTTCTCAAAATTTTGAAAATTCTTTGTTTTTTGCCCTATATTTGCTTTATATGGTATTTTCAACAAAATATAGGCCAAAAACGATAAATGTTCAAACTTTGGAGAAAAACAATTTTTCAGATTTTTGGATCGTGAAATTTTTTTTCTCGGAGAACACGAATTGATCTAGTAAATCTTAGTATGAGGCATTATTGGTATGGCCAACAGCTATCAAACCTGATATAGTCGCACTAAGGTTTTTTTGTGTTCCACAGTGTTATACAAGGGATACTTTGAGGAATCATATAAGGAATTATACATTACCCAAGTCCACGTATATCCAAGTTCGTGTCATACAGCAAGCATTGACTACTTTCTAAAGTTTTATTTATTTGTTTTTGTAATTAACGACATATTTCAGAATTTGTAATTAATACGTTGTGTTCATTTTAGTAAATCCACTTTTTTAATTGTACAAAATTTATTATATACATACAGTATCGGTCATATCAATAGCAACCCCATTTCAAAGTGATATTATTTCCCTCTCATGTTAATTTATTTATTGCTTAGAATTTGCAACAAAAGTAAAGTTGAATTTCTAACAAAACCCATATAAACCGAATTTGAAAACATCGTAGAAAACTACAAAAAATACAACAAATTTTCAACCAAAATTCAAACTTTTTTCTCAGAAGTGTTAGAATTTTTTTGAGCACTCAGTTTTATAGCCCCTTCAATTTTAGTCTAATTATATGCAAGTTTGAAGTGGCTAAAAATTACCTTAGTTTTTTTAGAATCGATTAAAAACAAATCGTGTTTAATCGTCTTCCATATAACGAAAACTTCGACCATATATCGATGGCTGAGTAGAAGATCGACCTATCTCGGCAGCCAGGTCGAAAACGCCCGATATCAGAAAGCTTTTCAACGCCCTATTTCAAAATTTGGCTGAAAAACGCCCTATTTTAGAATTTGATTGAAAAATGCCCTATCTCGGAACTCGGTTCAAAAACACCCTATCTCAGCACATTTTCGAAGTATTTTTATTTGAGATAGGACTTTTTTGAACCGACTAATAATAATAAAATATGTACTTTATACATATCTAGTTTCAATATAAAAAAATTTATGTACACCATTAATTGTGTATACATATCTAAGTCAATATATGTGATATACATGTACATACATCTACATACATATCGTCGTTTAAAGTACAAAACCATGTATCAATAAATTGCAAAACCGCGTATAGAGATAATGCAAACCCACGTATGCGAGGTTGCATAAATTAATTTCTAGAGAGTAAAAACACTCATATTTCAAAATGGTTATCTTTTTGTAAAAAGCAATCGCATTTTTGGCTAGTATATTTCAGGAAGAATGGATAAGGATTGATCCAAAAACGTGTGTGAGCGAATCCAATTTTTAGCAGCAAATGTCAGTTACGCGGTTTTGTACTTTAAGCGACGATATGTATGTTAACAGGAACGCAGCAATCTAATACACGGGTGGAGCAGGAACGCAGCACAGCAGAAGCATACAAAAAATCTGCAAATAAATGGTTTTTTAGGTTTTTAACAAACGAGAACCTGGTTTCAACTTACTTCAACGTGTCTAAATCACAACGCACACACTAATGCAAAGGCGCAACAGGAATGCAACACTATAAAATACGGGCGGAGCAATATACAGGCGGAGCAGGAACGCAGCACAGCAGAATCGTCCGAAAAATCTGCGAATAAGTGGTTCATTAGGTTTTGAAATAACAAAGAGCTCAAATGGAATGGTTCATCAATAAAGTCAAAATAATATGTTGTAACTTACGTGTATTAGCTCTTAATCACAATACCAGCACAGGTCGGTCAGCGAAACACTAAGGAAATTACCTAATAAATGCAAAATTATAATTTATTTGTAAAATAATTCGGTTTTATTACAATACTTACCAAATTTCACGCAATTGGAAAACAAATGTCAGCGAATAAGAACAAAACGAACAACGAAAATTTAATCAATGTAGCTTGTTCAGAATATTTTTCTAATATTTTGGGAAATGTTCAGTGAAAATAGCAAAGAAACAACACAGTTTCTCCTAAGGTAGTTCAAGATGGCGGATTAGAGCGAGAAGTTGCCAACGTATAACACCTTTCATTATTGCATCATGTACTCGACGTAAGCTGCTGTTGAAAAAGAAAGCAATTTTATTAAAAATTATTGCCATTGGCCCGTAGTCATAGTCAAAATAAAGTCGACTTTAAAGTTAGTTGCAGCTTTTTTGACAGATATCCCGTTGAAAATTATGTCAAAAAGCTGCAACTAACTTTAAAGTCGACTTTATTTTGACTATGACTACGGGAATAATTATTAAAAAAAATAGATATATGGCCCAATGCTCGCAATGCCGTACTCAATCAAAAAAACATAAACCCAAAAATAAGCAAAAATCAAAACCACAAAATACAGGTTATAATTAACATATTTGCCGTGTGAACAATAATTTAACGATTAAGGAATTTCGGGTGACGCAAGAAAAAAATTCTACGGCGTGCGTACCAAAACGCAAGCCGCGAATATTAGGTTAGCCAGTAAGATACACAGTTCCGTTATTCCATCTTCTTCGGTACCCGTCGTCCACGCGAATAGGGCCCTAGATCTTGTCCAGAATAATTTTCTCGAAAACACCCAAAACCTTCTCATCTTTGTTCGACATCGTCCACGTTTCTGCGCCATAAAAGAACGGGCATGATTAGACTTGCAGAGCGTGTTATTGGCAAAAGTTATTCTTCGCTTGATTTTCAGGCTGACGTTGTTGCCGTTGCGATTCAAATTGGCAGCTCTTATTACGTTTTCTACCATCAGAATGAAAAAATCACACGAGGCTGATACACCTTGTCTAAAACAGAGTTTGGTCCCATACGGCGCGGAGAGGTCCTTCCCAATTTGAACGGAGCTGAAGGTTGGGCTATACGTCACTGTGCATAGCCGTATTAGTTTTACAGGGATGGATGTGATGTGTCGATTTGCATATCGAGTGTCTTCTACAAAATTTTACGTATTGTGGAAATCTTGTCAATGGTTCGTAACGGCTACTGTCTTTCACACCGTATCGTCGGTAGGACCTTGTAAACAACAAGTAAGGCTTATTCCGCGATAATTTGCGCAAACGGCGGGATCCCCATCTTGTGGATTAGACAAAGTACACTAAGATCTCTTCTGTGCAGCTAAAAATATGCGCAAAAAAATTCAAGAAAGCTAAACGTCAAGAAGCTGCAATCTAAAACCGGCCAATTTGTTCGACACTCGACTCTCACACTTTCTCTTTGAGAGCATTGTTCAACAAACCGACATATCCGAGCAGGGAACCAAGGCGAATTTATACAGATGGTGTCCATGATCCAATTATACAGATCTGACCGGTGGATGATGGTTCCGTGCGCAGAAGTGGACAACTTTTGACTTCCATTCACCTGGAAGTGGCCGGAAGCGATTCTTGTGCGTACACACAACGTCCGGATATTTATATCTACGTATCCTCTGGGTAGCAACCAAACACCCGTTTGGGAGCGAGCTAAAATGAGAAGGCGTAAAACTTCGCGTGCGCTGGGTCTGGGTCCCGCCACGTTAAAACCCCGCCCAATGAAAAATAACAAACAGCCTCGGATGAGACCCCGTCGCCCCACGCTTTTCATTTTCAATGTCAATAATTGTTTATAATGACTTTTGCTAAAATTTCAAAATCAAAAGTTATCAAAACAAATTCTTTGGGACTGAGAAATATTATTTTCTACTTTTTAGTCCATTTATAAAAGCGTTGTATATTAAAAAGTTTTTTATTTTTTATTTTATTTATTTTCTACTTTTTAGTCTTGTCTCATGGTGAAATAAAAATAAGGTGATATCAGTAATCCAATATGGCGTCGAATTTGACAAAATTCGCCATCATAAATTACAATGTTGCTTACTCCATTTTTAGTTCCTATTTGTGTTTCCAATAAGAAATATAGTGTAGGCAACACTGTTTCTCTGTTTCCTTTTTTACTTTGACATTCGCCTGCGTTCTCACTAAATTGCGTAAAATTTTCGGAACTTTTAGTTGCGTTGGTAAGTTATCTGTATTATATTTTCGATATTTTTGGTTAAAGTAATACTTTTTCCTTAACTAGCCCCGAATAAAGACTAAAGAGCATTCAAAAAGCGCCTTGCTGCTGTTCCTGCTGCAACGTACCACCAAATTGGTTTGTAATTCAACATTGCGATTTGTAAATATGTATGTACATGCATATAATTTATACATTTTCTATTAAATGTTGTGCTTGTCCTCAACCAGCTTTACACTGTTCTGTTCCTGGTGGAACATAGCACCATAGTGCCTGGTGATTCAACATCCCAACAACAAGTTGGAAGCCGGTTCCTGCTTCATTGTGCCACCTTATTGCTAGGTGAATCAACAACCAAGTTTGTTGCTCTTGCTGCATTGTGC